TTTCCACAATATTTTTAAAATTATTAAAAATTGCACTTTATAACAACAAATGGGTAAATGAATGCATACAATTCGCCCTCACGATATCGATTAGAAGTTAAGATGCAATTTTGGATATATTAAATAATAAAAAATTAAATTAATTTAATCCAACATGAAGTACCAGTGTTATGTTATGGTTATGGTTATGTTATACCGTTTAAAAGACTTCAATTTCCAATACAGTGTGAGAATTGAGACTCATAGCAGTTCTACATTTAACATTGCTTATATTATAAATGTATATACGTTTCAAAGTCTATTATTAACCAAAATGCCACTTACAACTAGTTTTATCAATATTATCACACCGTTTCGGATTGACGTTGAGTTCTGGGACACCCTGTATAATAATTTCTAGGAAATTATTTCTGCACAGTAACATATAATTATTTCACATGCTTCAACAAAAGATAGTTGAGAAACACTACTTTGCAATGATATGTGACTAAGTATGATGCAAATGATTTACTACTTACATAAAGCTGAATGTTAATAATGCCAAAAATATTTGGATATACTTGTATGTTCTTATTTCACTTTCTTGTAAAAAAAATCGTTAACCAGGACCAAAAAACAGGCGTAAAACATAAAATATATAATAATAATTGTCTTTTTTTTTAAACTTCCCTAATGAGAAGTTCGTTTTAACGAAAAAATCCGATTTGCTAATTTTATGTTTTCTCGACGTTTCTCGACGAGGTCTTTTGTCTGGGTATGTCGAAATAACCTCCGCTTATTTCTGTGTGTGTGTAAGCCGATTTTTGACTTTCGTCAACGTTTTCTCAAAAACGGCTGGACTAATTACAAAAATTTAAAAGCTATTCGATGTATCTCGATAAAGACTAGTGTTAGATTTATGCTACGATCGGCCTAGACGTTTCTTTGTAATTTGCTAAAAAGTAAAAATTTTCCTCAACGGTTTAGGCCACAATTTTGAATCGATTTTAAAAATTCAAAAACTGTTGGAAAATTATAGGTTGAAAAATGCGTCGATTAGTTTTTGATCAAGATAGTCCGTGCCGTTTTTTCGTAAATAAATGTTCAAACAATTTTTGTATGACGATTTTGATTAAAATTAGCATAACGATAGATTTCGTTACATATTAAAATATTATAAGTCTATGATAAGCAGTTGAATTATAAAAATTCATCGAAGTTTGGAATGTATGCCGCAGCATATGTATGTGTTTTGTGGATAGCTACTGATTACAGTTGATTAAAGGACGGGAGCAAGCTTTAAAGGTTTAAAAAATCGATTTTTTATGCACAAATGTCTTCCAAAACTAGCCAAGAATAAATCCCTATAAATTCCAGAAAAAAGTTCGAATTATTTTCGGATTTACAGAAGAAATAGTGAGTGAGCGTCAAGCATGTATACGAGCAGAACAAAAACTTGAGAAGAATGTTGAAAAATATAACAATAAAACCTGAAAGTTTCGTTTCAATTGAATATTTATTTCTTTCACAAAAAAATTTCTCGAAAAAAGCGATTTTTTAGAAGCTTCTAAAGCAGACTCCCTCTTAAATGATCCTAATCAGAATCTATCCCGAGCATATGTTCGTGTTTCGTAGATAGCTACTGATTACAGTTGATTAAGTTCATTATTTATACGTATCAGAAAGCTCATGCAACTTGCCTTAAGAAAGAATGCTACTTAAAACTAGTTTTTAATGAAATAATAATTAATTCATTCCAAAGAGTCAAATGATTATGAGCATGACATGATCTATGACAAATATATTCAATATAGAAGATATAAATTAATAATACTATTTTATATGCAATAAAAAACCAGACATTCATGTCATATGCATATTTGAAAGAAATGATGATCAAGTCATGTAATACACCAAACAAATATTTATAACAATATTGATACGATAAAGCTATAATTGTAGTTTCAAACGACATGCAAGATTTCAAAAAAAAAAACTTCTACTAACACGTTACAAGCCTATTTTTTTTATTTTTTATTCATCAAATAATTATATTCATGCTTATCAACTTACAAGAAACGTGTCCCCACAATGAGCACAGCAAACCCTGCACATTCCTGGCAACGAAGAATTTCCACCGTGAGGAGCAGGTGGTGTCACAGGACTAGGTGCTAAATTTATTATGCGTTTGCAATTTGGTCTCGGACAAGCTATCCTTTGAGATGAACTTTTGCAAATCAATAAACAGTTGCATGGACATCGAACGTACTTCTTGCCTGGTGGTGCATTGCGGATAGGCTGAAAAATAGGAAATAGTGGTTAAAAAAAATCGAGTTAAGTTATTTACAACTGTGACTTAAAATCAAATTTAGGTAAAGTTTTTACGATTTTTGTCTCTTCTACAATATACTTGCAAAAGCTAGGAACACATTCATATTTTTTCTGATTGCTATTGATTGCTTTTTCTGATTAATATTGTTTTAAAAAAATCTCACTGGAATCTTAAGAAATACACCCACCCCCCGTTTTACACGGTACTCGTTTAACACGTTTTCGATCTTACACGGTTTTTGAAAATAATCCCTTTCAACGAAATTTATTAATTTTGCATTTACACGAAATTATAAACACTGAACTATAATTTGCTTATATCTGCAAAATGTATGTTACAGTTACAAATTTTTAGTAGTCTATGTATGGAAATATGTACATATGAAGGGAACTCAATGTTTTATGATCAAAACTAAATTTTATGTGTGTATAAACTAGTTTGCTTGAAGTATCAAAACAAAGAGCACCATTGCTTTTAAACTTTGTTTTTATTTAGTGTTTATGTGTAAACTGATAGCGTAAATTTATTCCAGGTAAGCAAATAATTATTTTTTACAAAATCTTTAATTTATAAAAAAAAATATAGTTCGGCAATGGAAAAAAATTAATAAAAAACCTAAAGTAAAAGAAATGTTATATCTGTAAGGAACAATTTTAATTTTGATCCCTAAAGAAAATGCAATATGAAAAATATTTTTTTCATATTTGTTTTATTATTGAAATAAATAAATTAATGAATTTTCTTAAAATTAACTTCGCGAAGGAGAAGTTTATGTTTTCATCAGAAAATCCGATTCGCTAATTTTATATTTTCTTGATGTTTCAAGTCATTCTGAATCGAATGAGACCAAATTTGGAAATAGTATGTATGTGTGTGTGTGAACAGATTTTTTGCCTTCAATCGACGTTTTCTTAAAAACGCCTGAACCGATTCCAGGAATTTAAAAGTCATTTGATGTATCTCAATGAGGACTATCGTTTGTCAGTTTTGTGAGACAATCTGCCGAGCCGTTTCTTTGTAATTTGGAAAAAGTGTTAAACTTTTCGTCCACATTTAAGCTCATACTATCGAATCGATTTTAAAAAATCAAAAACTGTTCGAAAGATATTAGTTGGGAATGATGCTACCGAAAATCTACCGAGCCGTTTTCTTGAAATTAACTGTTGAAATAAAATTAAGCCGATTTTTATGAACCTTTTTGGCAATAGATATCATGGTCTTATACTAAAATGTTACGGCCCTGCGACAAATAGATTAAAGTTAAAAAGCAATCAAAATTTGAGAAGAAATTATAGTCAAAATTTGTGTCAAAAGTGGCTTTTGTGATGTAACGAGTCAAACATTATCTATTCATTAAAATTTAAAATAATAAGCTACAATTTTAGGGCATACAGGCACGTGTCAGTGCAATATAATTAATATAATTACAGTTAATTTAAATGTGTTTGATAAAATTCTATTCGAAATTGCAATGTTTAGATTTAATTAAAAGCGATAACTTTATTTTTGAAATAAGCAGTTAAAATTTTGACTAAGATATCTAAATTTCAACTTCGATTGATTAGGTTAATTCCTGCCTTAAGGCTAAATGCCACTAGTTTTTTTTTTTAATTTAGTAAGTATTGCTTTTTCGTATCAGATTAAAATGACACAAATAATTTGTTATTAAAATTATCATTACAACTGAAGTTAATGAAGAAAATGACACTGGTCATACAAATAAAATATATACAAGAAACAAAATTTATCCAATTTTTCTAACGCAATGTGATTGATCGACAAAGAACAAAAGATCTTTTTTAAATCGCGCATGCTGATAGAGTCAAAAAATTTAATCAAAAAATTGTACATAACTCTAATTCTCAAAAAAAATACAGTCATAATATATATTATCTCCAAACATGTCATAATATATATTAATCTCAAATGATGAGACAGTCGTAATCTCAAAATTGATAAAAAATAGAATATTTCATTTTAGTTAAATCTTTTTTTACTTACTGTGGCTTCATTGCACTGATTGCATTTGACGACATGCTGTTCGCGTTTGCCTGAAATATCGACCATGGCCTGACACACCCTGCAAGTGACCATGGGCACGCCACTGGCCGAACTTCCCTGGTAAGACGGTGGCAACTCATCAGGACCTATAGGGGAAACCGTCGTGGTTTGAGAACCTGTGGGAAAAAAATTTGCAATAATTAATAAATGAATGAATTAATAAATTATAGTATGAACTAGTGGTGCATGGCATCGTGCCTTAAGGCAAATTGCTGAAACTTCGTGTATCGTAATGAAATTTTAAATGTTTTCAAATATATTATTATAAATACTGTAACTTCTACTGTTCGTATTTTATACACAAAATATAAGAGCTTATAAATTGGACGACGACGTTTATATATATATATATATATATATATATATATATATATATATGTGTGTGTGTGTGTGTGTGTGTGTTTACATAAAAAGTGAATAAACAAAACTTTATCATGCGGAGTTAGAATTAAAGGATCTTATCTCATATTTATATAAACTGAATTGCAAAGTTAAAATTATTTATTTCAAGTATATAAGTGACCTTTAGAATTTTAACTATAATTATAATTAAAATCCACAAAATTTTCGATATTTAAAAAAAACAATTTTTTTGGAAATTAAATTAATAATTACTTGAATTACATGAATTAGTGATCTTCAGAATTATTAATTATATATAAGTGATTTTTAGAATTTTAGCTAGAATCTTCTTTTGAATATAAAATCTGAATTATTTTCAATAATAAAAAAATCTCTTCCCCAAAAACTAATTTTTTCACACAGTCAACAAAACTAGATATTTTTTAATCATTCTAATCAGATTGTTCATTGTCTCAATAAATGCTATTTTAGCCTAAGCATAGTCCAAAAAATTATCATCAAAATCGGTCCAGCAGTTTCAAACTTAGCCCATTCAAACAGACAGACAGGTGTATGAAACCCCATATGAACCCTATTAATATTTATAATAAGAACTATTTCAATATAACAAACACACCCTCTTATTTTATTTTTATGTATGGTAATGGGTAAACAAATATCACTTTTAAAGTTTACTTTATCACTTTTTCAATAAAAGTAATACAGCAAAGTTACAAAAGACAAAATGATATAGGAAACACAGAATAGCCCTGTTATGTCTCACTTTATAATTATTACCTAATGAAAATATAAATTAAAAAAAATGTTATCACAGCACTTTTTTCTGGCATTTTTTAGGGCATAGGGATAACAGCTTGAGTCTTACAGTGGACATACGTAGTTATTAACTAAAAATGAGATCTTTATTGGACTTTGCTCTGCGGGACCGGTTCTGCGGCATACATAAGAAAAATGTTATGGCAAGGCCATGTTATGAAGAACTTTCCCTACTAATATTGACAAAAGCCACGCCGCACAAATGTCAAGCAAACGATCTTAGAAAACAGGGTATTTCTGACTCAGCTTCATAACATACGAGTGACGTTGCAGTTTATGTGTAAAACGCCCGAATGCACTGCAAATACATGACATTTTAACAGTATTCAGTGTGATTCAGTATCATAATGTATGGAAGTTGGAGAGTAGGATGACCTTGCCATAAGATTTTTCTATAATGCGGTTCCTGTATCTCTGAAACAACTAGACCTGCCTTTGCCAAAAACTAATCCGCACGACTCCCCATCAATAAGAATAATTCAAATCGGTTCATCCGTGTTCTCGAAATCGGCGATGAAAAATTGTATCCGCACGTACATACACACACATACATGCATTTTTTCAAAGCTGTGCCAAAACTTCCAGAAACGTAAAAATAAGCAAAAAAAACATATTCATTTTTTGCAACTACATACTAGAACCTTTCCTAAGAAAAGTTAATATCAATTAAAATAAAAATGCAAAAACTATTAACATTTTTGTTAAATCTAGTTTTACAAATAAAATTGCAAACATGGTTAAAAATTTGCTGACACATAAATGATGATACCTTGAATACAAACTAATCTCTATTACATTTAATTTGTAAATTGATGCAGTCAACAAATCATCAATTCTTTGCTGAACATTAAATTGGCAACTAAGTAAGTGCGGTTTTTAGCTTATATGGTTTCAATTGAACTTTTAGGTTTGCTGAAGTAGTCTAAACAAAAAATTAGAAAACATATAATAGGCAATTCAGGTGCCAATTAGTAAAAATAAAGGTTTTTAATAGATTGCTCCTTAAAAGATGAATGAAATTGAAATGAAATTGAAATTTTTTTCATATGTATTTTGCCGTTTTATTTCTGCAAAGGTAAAGAGGCATCTTAAGCTCAAAAAAAGTTGTGAGTTCTTTATGATGCCTTAAAACAAAGGCTTTGTTGAAATTTAAAACTGGTTTTACCAAATTTTGTTCTCAAAGATGAAACGCTGTGGTCGTCCATTTGAAGTTGATTACAAAGGAATTGTCTACTTTTACTCTTACCACCCAACTGAACAATCAATTCTGATGTCTACATTGAACAACAAACAAAATTAAGCAATGCAGTTGAAAAAAATCTGCCTGAATTGATAAAAAAAAAATTCTTGGAGGTTGGTTGATGAATGTTCTGCCACATCCAACATATAAACCTGATATAACACCAACTGGTTACTTTTAGTTTCGATCTTTACAAAACTCCTTGAATTTAAACAAGTTTGATATTGATGATTATGTCAAATTATAGCTGATTCAGTTTTTCTCCTAATAAAGCCAGAAGATTAATTAAAGTGAGACGATGATGCTGCTTGAAAAATACTGAAAAGTCATCGATCAAAATGGACAATACATTACAGAATAAAGCTTTATGGAAAAATGTCTTTGATTTTCTAACAAAAATGCATCAGCACTTACTTAGCTGCTTATAACATTTAATAGTATGTAAATAAAAAAAAATCTAAATAAGTAGAACTTGATTGATTGATTTTTAATAATCAAATTGAAATTTATGAGTACCAGAATACAAAAATATTTAGCATAACAAAACACAAACTTATTCTGATATCAAGTTGCGAAATGATTCATTAATCATCATATTTTTTATGCGAGTTAGTGTCTGAATAAAAATATTTAACAATAAACAATAAACATAGCTTTTGTTCGTGCAAACTATCAACAATTAGCGATAAGAATTCGTGACGACTATAAATAGAAGATGGCGTCGGCCGATGGCAATTGTCAAAATTTGTATGAAGAAAAATTCACACTAAATCAGCAATAATGCAAAATTTATGGCAAAAAGATAAGTATTGTTTATAACTAATAGTATACACTCATCAAATCAGCATCACGCGATGCTATATATTGTAAATTAAGTACCAACAATGTTATAACTTTGACAAGTAGTTGTTGAAAAACAATAGCAATTAATGTATCCATTATTATTTCATCTAACCTTCCGTATAGGATCCTTGATTCCTAAGGCTTCCAGTTCCATCATTTTGAATCAATGGCTGTCGTTCAATATCTCTTCCATCGCCCATGATGAATTGTTAAAACTAAACTGTCAGTCTTGTTATTTATGCTGTCATAACATTAACTTAGCACAGAATTTCAACGGCAAACGTGTATTCAATCGATATCCGACTATTATTCACATTTTATTCAATATATATTTGAGTCACTGAGCTGTTTTAATTGAATAATAAAGGACAATTAAATGCTATTTGATGAAAGAGAGCCTGCCTGATCTCATCGGCCAAATTCCTCTTTTCCAACGAAGTAAGGATTGCGGTGGCGGAGCGCAACTGCGGCGCTGGTGTCGGCTGTCACATCGAGAACTGTCAAAATAATAGTGTTACCAGATTAGAAGGAATATTTGAAAAAGAGCGCGAATAGTGAATTATTTAAAAAGAAAGTATACTTATATACTAATAAAATTTAATATTGGATAGTGCTATAAATAAACTATGTATCATGAAGCAAATTTAGTAAATTACTAAAGACCATCTTAAAATGATTGATCATGTAATTTATTTTAAATAAAAGCAATAAAGTATTTATTGCATCTTTTAAAACTTATTCAAAATGTTATTTTCTTTTGTTGCCAAAAAGCACAAAATTTACATTTAATTACTTCGCAATTTAATTTTTCTGAAACGAAAATGTTTAAATAAGTATTACATTTTTAATTATAAGTTTCAGTTAAAAGTTGGAAGGTTAACTTTCAAATATAAGTATATATATTTTTTGGTTATTGTTACTGATGGTTAAGCATATATAATTTATAATGTCCCTTATAAATAAAAATATATCACTTACTAAACATCTTCTATAAAATATATATAATTTTCTTTTTAAACATTTTCGAAACTTTTCAAATTTGCAAAACTTTACAGGTATTAATTTAAGAGTCTCCATAAATTGAGAAAAAACTTTTACTAATTGTAAAATGAAAGTATAATATAACTAACTAAAATATAACTAAATAAATATAAAAAAAGTATAAATATAACTAAAGTATATATATATTATATAAGTATCCGTAAAATAAATATATAATTATCATTTTAAACAATGTTTAAACTTCAGATTTAGAAAGAAACTTTTTAAATCTCCAATATTTAAAAAAATAGTTCAATAATTATCTGTAAAATAAAAAATCAGTTAACTCAAACTTTGAATACAAATTAACACTTTATCTTATTACATTTCCAAAAGACTTAAATTTGTTTGATAAGGATAGGTTATCGGAAAGCATAGTCAAACAAATAAAATTCATTTCATCCCATTCACATTCATAAACAGTAATTTTTAATACAGAAAATAAACATTTAGTTAGCATCACAAATTAATATTCAAAACTGTACAATATGTTAATATTATTTAATTATTTTATTATTAACATCATCAGTCACTATCGTAATCACCTCTTTGTGAATTGAGAGGCCTTCGTGCTTGTTGTTCATCGTCTGAACCAAACACAACTTCTTCATCGGATTCGGTTACCATTGAAAATGCTGGATTGTCTTTTGTTAAAGGAGCTTCTGTTGGAGAAAAAGATATAAAGATATAAAAAAACTAGTCAAAAAATAGAAAAGTTTTGCTTCACATGGTAAAAATGTATACAATATTAAATTTGCTTAATAAAATATTTTACCATGAGGAGGTCTGTCCAAAGGTGCATAAACATAAGCCATGGAATAAGTGTAGAAGTTCAAAAGGCCATAAAGAGCCATAAAATGAGCACTGCTATCATAATGAGCGTTCAGAGCAGACACAAACTCATCGACTACTGGTCCAGGAGCAAATTTCATACAAATCTCAGCTGTTATAACACTGGCAACACAAATCATCAAGAGGGTCAGAAATCTCAACCTCATATCTGAAAATGATATAAATATAATTTAATAAAGAAAATTCGCAAATATTGCTTGATGTTTTTTTTTAATTATCACTTACCAAAAAATGGCATAGATCTCAACTCGCTGTATGCTTTTAAAATTAGTGTTAGTAGATAGACAAGATAGATCACTCCATTGATGAAGAAAAACACTTTGAATCCCTTGAATAGAAAATAGAGATTATATTTTAAAGTAGAGGGCAACCAGTCATCGTCTTAAATCGGGCATAGTCGCTATCATAAAATAATCGGCTATATTTAAAATATTTTTAACGAAAGTATTTGTTTCGTTGTTAGTTTTTTTTTGGCTTTGAGCACTGTTGTTTAGTTTATGATACCTGAATATAATATTTAGGCATACACCCCCCCCCCTTCGCCTTGCTCTCATTATTTTTATTTTTCTACCACGAATAAAGTCGAATCTATTACCTAACAGCGCCATTTTTTAAAAGGCAACCCAACGGTTGTCTTATCCCCATACGATAAATATTTTTTTCAAAATTTCGCTAATAATAATGATAATTTTAATTTAACGCAGCAATGTCAGTAAAAAGTTATTTCCACATGAATCTGGAAAATATTCAAATAGAAATATAGGTCATTACTACTGCTTGATACCAGGCTAGCCGAGGCGCCTATTTAAATCGAGGATTTTGTGAATACAAAGCCTAACTTTTACTGTGACATCAATTCTCTTTATCATATTAACCAGTTGAATGATATCAGACTGACAAGAAGCCAGATTTTTGTTGTGACAAAACTTTCCCTCAACATATTACAAAGAGGAAATATTGACCATTAATACTGCTTGATTTTAGGCTGACCAAAAACTGAACTTTTAATGTGATAACACTCTCCCTCATCATATATTACGAAGAGGAATATTATGCTGACCGAGGCAGTATTTTGTGAAAGCTAAACGACACTTCTCCTAAGCAACCCAAATGTTGTCCATTTACATTTGATACGTTTTTGTTATTAAAGTTTCTCCGACACTGAAGATACGTTTCTAATTAGATGCAATAACGCGAATTTCACTAACTTTACTTCCATATATTATATACAAATATTTTAAGTATCATTGCTGCTTGATATCAGGTTGCCCAAAAATGCTTATTTGAGCAGTGGACTTACGCTAACGATTATAATTATTCTAAATAAAAATAAATAAAGCATATTTTCAATTACTTACGTAATAATTATCAGCATCAACAATGTGGTTGTAAGTCGGATCCTGTTTTTCGTCACATTTTTGCCAAGCCGAAAGCACCACAGCGCAAAGCCATAAAGGAACTATTACAATTAATTTGGGAGCATAAAATCCCAATAAGGTACGTTCATTCTGAAAAAAAAAACAATAGGTTGCCTCCAGAACTACTTGATATCAGGCTGGCCGCATTAGTCCATAATAAATATTCACCTGTCTTAGACCATGATAAACGCACAGCCAAAACAACAACAGGGCACATAAGAAAGTCGCCTGGAACAACGCATCCATCATTCCTGGTAACCAGGAATCGATCAAAAATGTTAGGGGAAAAACGGGATCTGAAAAAAGATTTCGTTAAGAATAAAATAATTCTTCAAAATTTTATTCTGCTTACTGTTATAGAGAAGGAGCAACGGTAAAAGTATGGATATCCATTTTTGTTCCATAGACCAATCGTTGATTGGATATTGTCTTAAAGAATGGGCGAAGAAGCACTGAAATTAATAATAATTTCATTATTTAAATAATTATGACTAGAATCAATAATGTTTCTTACCGTAACCATAAAGGCACCAATTAGGAAAAATAAACGGAACCATATCTCGATCTGCGTAAACGCTGGATTGTATGTTTTGAACTAGAAATAAATGAAAAATGTAAATTATTAGATAAAAAATGTATTCATTTATTTATGTATATACATTTTTTAATTAAATTTGCAATATGGTACTGATAAATAAAAATTGTAGAGTAAAGTTGCTTAAGTCGTACTGCCTAAGAAAATAATTACATATTAAATTTTTAATTCATAAATAATTTATAAAAACTTATTACATTTTTATTTAGTTGGCTTATGATTAACAAATACCAAAATAATGATTTTTTTATTTAAAAAAGGGTATTTTTACGTTTTAGTTGCCTTAGTCGTACCACCTACAGCGTTAGTCGTACCTACTACTAAAAACTGTATAGAACTCAGTGTGAGATCAATTGTTCTTCAGATTTTCGTTGCTAACAAATAGCTAACTATTCTTTTAATTGCTTACAAAACTAAATAGTTATAAATTAAAGTAACCAGATGATATAATTTATTAAGTCAAACAAAACCAAAGCATATTTTAGATGGGGTACAACATAGGCAACCACAACTTGGTTATTTTTAAAAGAGTGAAAATTAAAAACCAAAATATATTTCAGACAGGGCACGACTTAGGCAGCCTCACCCTGGTTATTTTGATAATAGTAAAGAAACCAAAACATATTTAATAAAGCTAAAGTACGACTTAGGCAACCTCGCCCTGGTTATTTTCATAATAGTAAATATTAAAAACCAAAACATATTCCAGATGGGGTACGACATCCGGGTTATTTTCATAAGAGTAAAAATTAAAAACCAAATCCAAAACATATTCCAGGCAGGGTACGATTTAGGCAACCACAACCTGGTTATTTTCATATTATTGAAAATTAAAAGCCAAAAGGTATTTAATACAACCGTGGTACGACTTAGGCAACCTCACCAAAACATATTTAGGCCCATAATAATAAAACTACAAAATTACAAAAGTCAATGATAAAATTTAAGAAAGTCTAATTATCTGTCCTAATTCAGATATGTATAATTTAAATATAATATGCGACCACAGTTATAAATGAGTTTTGAGTTTTTTTTAAATGTTTATAAATTGTATTACATTATAATATATATATATTTATAACTTACATAAAATTTGACATCCTGGAACGTATATCTCTTGTGTAATCCTTCCAGGCCGTAGAAAGAAACGCTTATCGAGTAATGGGAATAGGCCAGAAATCCTAAATGCAAAACAACGAATTCATCACAATGGTGACCACTGCAGTGCAAATGACGAGTTCTAAAAAAAATCATGATTATATTAAATGTGTGTGTGTGTATTAAATAAAATTTA